TAGCATTACACTGGACTATAAAAGAATGTTTTAAATTGGTCTTCCAAAAGCTAAAAACCTAGTTTCAGAAATTACTTAGATAAAGGAAACACAATTAACAACTCAGAAAAGGTGGGAAAATTCAAGCACCAAAGAAATAATGTAGGAGTGGTACAGTTTGAGATGGGGAACAATGCAAGCCATGAAGAAAGATCAGATTGGGCTAAACAGTGGGAAAGGAATTTCAAGAATACAACAAACACTGCCCTACTTAAGATATATAAGCTTAACTTGGTCTAAGCAGACACGAATAAAGAGAGCCTGAAGAAAGACAATGGCAAATGAAATAAAACATCAAAGCAGTAGTTGGCTTACCAGTAGTACTCTGGAAATCACCTAGAAATCTTTTAAATACTGATACCTAAATTTGACCCTAGATTTCTATCTTAATTAGTCTGAAATAAAACCCGAATGCATCAGGATTTTTAACTTCCCTAGAGACTCTAATGTGTATCCAAAGAATCATTCCCTTAAAGAAAAAAACAGTAGCAGTTGGCAATTAGAAGCACAGGAAGAACACAAAAAAATTATGACAAGAATATATTTATAAAAGTGATTACATTAACTAAGCACATTACTTCCATGTCTAAAATCCCAGCTACTTGTAATGTAGAAATCTGAGGATTGAGGTTCAAGGCCAGTCTAAGCAAGAAGTGACCAAGACTTTACCTCAACAACAACAAAAAACTGGACATCAGTAATCCCAGTTACATGGGAGGTGTAAGTAGGAGGATGAAAGTCCAGATTTCTCTGAGCAAAAAATCTGAGACACCACCTGGAAAATAACTAACGCAAAAAGGGCTGAAAGTGAAGCTCAAGTGGTAGAATACCTGCACAAGCCGGGCACCGGTGGCTCATACCTGTATTCCTAGCTACTCAGGAGGCTGAGATCTGAGGATAGAAATTCAAAGCAAGCCCGGGCAAGAAAGCCGGTGAGACTCATCTCCAATTAACCACCAGAAAACAGGAAGTGGTGATGTGTCTCAAGTGGTAGAGCACCAGCCTTGAGCTGAAGAGCTGACAGCGCCCAGGCCCAGAGTTCAAGACGCACAACCAACAACAACAATAACAAAAAAAACCTGGACAAGACCCTAAGTTCAAACCCCACAAAGAAAATAGTAGCAGTAGCAGTAGTAGTAGTAGTAGTAGTAGTAGTAATTAGTGAGAACCCAGGAAAGAGAGAAAATGAAGACAGGTCTTTCCAGCCTTGCTCTATAAAGGTCCATGTAACCAAAGTTCATACACTATCATTATTTATCTATTTTTCAACAGAAATGATCAAGTCAAAGTCAATCTTTTTTAATTAATTAAAAATTTAACTATGAAACAAATCTTCCAGGAAGCCTCTTGGATTTCTTTCCTTATATTACCATGGAATTTTAAAGGTACTACAACAATACTCCAATCTTATATAGACAACACATCTGTTCCAGAAAGGTGGAATCAAAAAATTTCATTCTTCTATGCAAAACAGTTTTGCATGTGACACATGCTCATTATGAAATTCAGTGACAAGATGTCCACTTGATTGTATGGTTGTCCCCAGAGGTTCTAGAATGTTTCTAAACGCTTCATGAATAAGCAAAATAATCTATACCCAGTTGCTTGTTGTTCTTCATAGTCTTTAACCATTCTGAGTTTCTTTCAAACGTGATTCACTGCCTTTCACCTATGACCTCACTCCACTGCATCTTGACCAAATTGAGCCTATTCACTTTATAAGTCAATTAAAAAGGAAATGAAAGACTTTTAACTTGAAAAGAAAATGCCTGTTAGCTCATGCATGTAATCCTAGCTACTCAGGAGGCTGAGATCTGAGGATTACAGTTCGAAGCCAGGCCAGGTAGGAAGGTCTGTGAGATTCTTAGCTCTAATAAACAACTCAAAAAATGCTGAGGGACAGAGCCCAGGCCCTGAGTTCAAGCCTTGCGACCAGCAAAAAAAAAAAAAAAAAAAAAAGCCTAGAGTTCATCTCCTAAAATATATTTCTGAGTCTCAAGAAAATTTCTTTTTTTTTTCTTTCCCCCCAGTCGTGGGGCTGAACTCTGGGTCTGGATGATGTCCTTCAGCTCTTCAGCTCAGGGCTAGTTCTCTCTCCCACTTGAGCCACAGCACCACTTCCAGCTTTTTCTGCTCATGTGGTGCTGAGGAATCGAACCTAGGGCCTCATGCTTGCAAGGCAAGCACTCATCACTGAGCCACCTTCCCAGCCCTCAAGAAAATTTCTTTAAGACAGCTATCTACCCATAATACTTAAATTTCAACCTAATAGCAAATACTGTTCTAATTTCTACTTAATGCTACATCAAGCTCGGCACAAAAATGACAAAATTCATGACTGTAATCCTGGTATTTGGAAGGCTAAGTAAGAATGGGAGGACTAAAGTATGATACCAGCTCAAACAGAAGAGTCTGTGAGACTCCATCTCAACAGAGAAAAGTTGGATGCAATGGCACATGTCTGTCATCCCAGCAAGAAGACAGGATGCCAAATATAAATCAATCACAGTACAAGCATGTGTTTGGGAAGGAAGCAATAAATAACCAGTGAAAACAGGTCTGGAAGTGTGCTCAGTAGAACACAAATATAGCTAGCCAAAGCCCTGAATTCAAAAGCTAGAACCATCAAAGACAAAAAAGAAAAAAAGAAAAAACCACTGTTGCATATCATGGTCTCCATTATTTCAAAATAAGTGCTACCATACACCTATAGTAGGATAATCAAAATCAAAGAGTTCATGACCAAGAGTGACTGGCCAGAGGGTCTGAGTATCCCTAGGACTCAACAAGTATCTTGTAAAGCAGTTGAGAAGCTCTTCAGATTTATCACACCCTCTTCTCCACCAAAGGGTATTTTCAAAATAGTTCCCTAATCCTATCTGCAGTGGATACTCTATGTCACTTCCAGCACATAATAATAGCAGATCTGTATACATTGTGAATCATTGTTCTTTTACTGAGTAACATTGGATGCCATTTTTTAACCTATCCATTTTTTTATATTTCTAATTTTCAAGCATGGATAAGGACTTTAAAAATGTATCACCCTTTCCCATTGTGATTTATCAACTACTTTCTATTTGACTTAACTGTATCACTAATCTCATTTTTCTTGGGTAGACTATCTAATATCAAAACATATCAATGACTTAAAAGGTGCTGCTAATTTCACGAGATGGTACAAACAAGAAACACACATTCTTCACCTAGCAATTCCATGATGACTCATCACTACCCTTTCACTTATGTAGGCATACAAGTGAATAAAAAGGTAAATAGCAATTATACAAAAAGGATCAAGATAATTTAACAAAAGTTCATCTTCTGCATCCTTAACTGAGAATGAGTTTTTATGGGAGCCCACATCAGTCAAATTGGACTTGAACTCAGCCAGCCTATACAGCACTTAGAATGATATAATTCCCCAAGACATCTGCTGTAGGTAGTGGTATCATTGTACCCACTAACATTTCTTTCACAATCATTTTATGGAAGATGTGTGATAATCTGTTTTTATTGGTATTAATAAACATACACAATGAAGAAAACAGATTAACAAATTTAAGACCAAGGTAAGATACCTAATCAAGGCCATTTTATCAATCACATTCATCTCATAACTAAAACACATTCATATTCCCGTGATCAATGTAGATTTCAGGTAGAAAAGAAGGCCCTTCAATTCATCATCCCAGAGCTGTGCCCAGAGCAGGGGCACTACTGTTAGAGACTATTTTTCCTCTAGTTTATAACTTACTGAATTAATTCGTCAAGTTTCACAATAATAGCTATTTAGAAAGATGAGATCTGAGTACTATTGTTCAAAGCTAGTGGGAGCAGAAAAGTCCATGAGACATTTACCTCCAATTAACCAGCAAAAAAAAAAAAAAAAAATCCAGAAGTAGAGCTATGTGGTCAAGTAATAGAGAGTGTCAGTCTTGAGTAAAAGACCTAAGGGACAGTTTCCAGGCTTAGTACCAGTAGAAAAAGTTTTAAAAAAAAATTAAAAATTAAAAAAAAAAAATCACAATACTAGTAGGGGGTGGTTTCTTGTTTTGTTTTCATTTTTGTTTTGTTTTTTTGGAGTGGGTACTGGCTTGAACTCAGAGCCTGGGTGTTATCCCTGAGCTTCTGTGCAAGGCTAGCTCACTTGAGCCACAATTTTTTTTTTTTTTTGGGTCCGGTCGTGGGGCCTGAACTCTGGGCCTGGGCGCTGTCCCTCAGCTCTTCAGCTCAAGGCTAGCACTCTACCACTTGAGCCACAGCGCCACTTCTGGCTTTTTTTTTTCTTATGTGGTGCTGAGGAATCGAACCCAGGGCCTCGAGCATGCAAGGCAAGTGCTCTACCACTGAGCCACCTTCCCAGCCCTTGAGCCACAATTTAACTTCCAATCTTCTTGGAAGTTATTGAGATAAGATTCTCTCAGGCTAGCTTTTATTCACAATCCTCAGATCCCAGCTTCCTAAGTAGCTAGAATTACAGGAATAAGCAACCAACTCCTAGCTCACAATATTAGTTTTTAAACAGAAACCTTAAAAACTTCTTTTGCAAATGTAACTTCTCATTTGTATCATATAGCACTATATGACAATTATCCACTGTATTCTACAGAGCTCAGGAAACATATTTTAGAAACTATGAATATCTAAGAAATTAGTTTTGAGCATTTCTTTCTGCTCAAACACAGATGCATACCTAGTTATAATAAAAATTTTAGTAGTATCCGATGCATGTTGAAATATGTAGAAGTATCAATGTCTGAAAATGTTTCAGAGCAAACAAAAAGGTTTAATACATATACATATATACACACATCTCTACATGTTAATTGGTAAATCCGGATAAAGAGTGGATATATACTCATTTTATGATTTTTCTAATTTTGAAAGTTTAAAATAAAACCATTTATCCATTCTTTAGACATAAATAGCTTAGTTCAAGAAGAAGTTTTGACACTCACATTGCCCATGTACTCAGAGAGCAAGTCCTGCAGGGCCTGGCGAACAGCATTGCACTCTGCCACAATTCGCTCACGCCGGTCATCACGTGTACAGGATGAGTCGGCCATCAGGGCAGCTCCACTAATGATGCTTTCCAGGCGTTCCTCCAAGGAAGGCCTAAAGCGTTCCTCGCTGAAGCTCAAGGGGTCCACAATAATTTGTTTCTGCAAAGTGTTACAAATGTTAATGCTCATTTCTTGTTCCTCCATTATTTAAGAAGGCAAAAAAAGTGCTAATCAGAAACATCAAGATTTATCACCTAAATGAAAAGCATCCTTCTTGGCAGATGAAGGGACATATCATATAAGCTGGCCCATGGTGGATCATCACTTCTCAAAGAAGTGATCTCAAAGTCAAATAGTCTAGGTAAAGTATGATACCAAAATACAAACACAAATGTATCATGTTCTTATTAAATACTCTAAACATCTAAAGATGAACATGCATAACTAATTCAAATTATCAAATGAGAACTATAAAGAAATTTTTTTAAGCATTGTCCTCAAAGTTTCAGATTAAATGTACTTACTATAATTTTTCACTATCCTTTCCTTCTTTGTATCACAAGATTTATAAGCAATTTAGTCTCAAATTTATCCTATTAAATCTAAATCAGAAACTTTCTTTCCATAGAGAGCACTAGTATTCTCTAAGAAAAATAAATTCCCTACCAAGTCTCTCCATGAGTTACTATTACTCTAGTAAGAATAAAGCCTTCAATTCATCTTCCCTTCCCTGACTGTACTTAAATGCCATTGATAAATGAGGTCTGATCATCAGTAAGCTACAAGGTCAACCAGATACCCTGAAAACAATTCTTCATACTGAGAAATGTCTTTGCAAATACATTTGAGTTCCTTAAAATTTTTCTGGCAGTACTGAAATTTGAACTTGGTGCCTCATACTTGCTAAGTAGGTACTCTAGGTACTTGAGCCAGATCTTCAGCCCTTTTTCTGCTTTAATCTTAAAAAAAAAAAAAAAATAGAGTCTTCCAAAAGTTGGCCTCACTATAATCCTACCAATCTTCCCATGTAGCTGGGATTACAGATATAAGCCATTCCTGCCCCCAAACCATAATCCACCTGGTCTCCACCTCCTGAGTAGCTGGGGTTATAGGAATGCACCGCATGCCCAGTTCTTACTTTTTTTCTTTAATAGAAACTATATCCTGATTAATTTCAACTTAAATGCTAAAGTTTATCTACTAAAAGCTTGCTTGGCTTTTTTCCATGAGTAAACATTTTTAAAATTTTCCTTCCAAAGCACCTTCAGTCCTGACAGTGAACATGTAATATCTTAGGAGGCTATCTCCATAGCAGAACACTTACAACTATGAACCAAGTCCTTGGGTTCAATTCCTAACACAAGCAAAAGAAAAAATACTAACTAAAAAGTTAAAACACAAATTTTTTTTCTGAGTAACACCAGAAAGGAATGAATAGTCACAAAACTTTAATAGTCATAAAACTACAACAGGCCTGAGATCATTTAGTATAACCCCTAATTTTACAAATGAAATGTGATTCAAGAATTAGATAACTGCTGATAAGTATTAGTCAACTTAAGGCAAAACATGATCCTTACTACCTTGAAAGAGAGAAATGTTTAATCTGTCAGATTTGGAAGTGGGGTACACTAGTAACAACTAAGTAAGAGTTATAAAAGTCATCTCATATTTGAAGCTCTGGGTCAGAACCTGAAGGTCTAGTTCAATGAAACAGTACTTACTTAGCACATATGTCTCTAGATTCAGTTCCCTGCACCAGAAAAAAAATAAAGCTACTGAGTAAAATGCAATTACAATGCTATGAAGGCGTTTGAGCTTAATGCTGCCTTCATGCTGTAAAAGTCCTAAATTAGCCTCATGCATATCAGCAAGGATCAGTTACCAAACTGGGAATAAAGAATTAAGACATTCCTTCTCGCAAAAAAGGTGAAGAAAAACTATTAAAACCAAACTGTACTCCATCATATTGGTTCTATAGATCAAAGCACTTATGATAGGATGCTATTCCTCTGGAACATATGTTTTCCTTATTTTAATTTAAAAAAAATTGCATAAACAATTGATTTTTGTCTTTGTATGGGGACTTAGGAGATGTTTATTTTTGCAGGGCTAGGGATCTAACCCATGGCCTTGCACATCCTATACAAGCACTATATCATGGAAGTGCATTCCCTAGCCTATCAGTTAACTTAAAACAAACGAACAAGTTGGGTGTGGTGGGTGGCACACTCAGAACTGGGAAGAAGATTGAGGCAGAAGAATCACCAGTTTCAGCCCAGACTGTGTTACATAGCCAGATTTTTGTCATGGAGGCAAAAAAAAAAAAAAAAAAAAAAAAAAATCTTAAAAGTGCTGCCATCTACTGGAAGCCATGAGGCACTGTGGGGTAGGAATAAAAAATCCCACCAAAAACTTAACACTAACGTTGTATATACATGACAGTGTGAACACTGATATTTTGGGGCATTATCTATAAGAGGAAATGATATTTTAACTCAAAATCTGCTTCCATTTTGTGTTCCTGATTCAAAGTAAATCACTAAGAAAAACATATCAAGGCAGACAGGCAAAATTAAAATGACCGCAGTCGGTGTGCTTTGTCTGTATCTTCCACTTGACCCTGAGCTTAAGAGGATGTCAGCTTATGAACACTTGGCATTCTTTGTCTATATACTCCATAGCTTTACCATCTTCCAGTCAAAATGAAATCAACCAGACTCATATTCTTAATAAAGAATGACCTCATAGGAAACATAAATTACATGGAAGAATCCAGAAGTTTAATTCAGGATAAAAAAAAAAAATAAATGCTTTAAGTCATAATTATGATCAAGTAAAGTGATGATTCCTAGTAATTTCTTTCAACTTAGATTTGTAATCTAAGTAAAAATTCAGAAGCCCTGATCATTCTCAGAAACCTGTTGTCTTTTGGAGTTTAGTGAAGAGCTTAAAGTTTCCTTCCAAGTATTACTTACATCAAAGTTGTTGAGAGCATATGCCAGTTCTCCTCCACCACTTCCCTGGTGCTGGGAGGCATCATCTGACGTAGTAGCCTGGGCTGCATTAGAAATGCCTGTGACTGCCTGTTGCAGCTGCTTGTATATCAAATCCCGGTTGGCCTTATAGGCAGCAACATCAGGGTGCTGTAGGCATGCCTGGGATGCAGTATAGAGGATTGGAACATTTTTCTGCAGGATTCCTCTAGCTGCAGCCATCTGATCACGATGGCCCACATCTTTCAGTTCCTGTAAAAGTAAAGTAAGAAACTGAAGTGCTCTAAAAGTGTTCCATTGTAATCAGATTATGTCCATTAACAACATGGTTTATAAATTAATCACAAAGCAAGATGTCCTATACCAAAGTAAAACAAGCTAAATATTCAGAAACAGGACCTGTGAATTCAAAGAATGAGTAATCATTTCAAGGTTAACACTGTGAGCTACGGAATCACACAAATCTGGATTCAAGTATCTCCTACTCTACTTTTTCTCAGCACCATATAAGCAAAAAGAAAAAAACCAGAAGTGGTGTTGTGGCTCAAGTAGTAGAGCGCTAGCCTTGAGCTGAAGAGCTGAGGGAGAGCGCCTAGGCCCAGAGTTCAGGCCCCACGACCGGACCCAAAAAATAAATAAAAATAAAAATAACAAAAACACAAGCATGAGTTGCTGAATACCCTGACTATAACTATCAATATATGTACCTATCCCAATTAAAACGGAAAGATTATACAAACACACACTTAAAGAGTATGAGGACTGGAAGTGGTGCTATGGCTCAAGTGGTAGAGCACTCGTCTTGAGCTGAAGAGCGCAGGGAAAACGCCCAGGCCCAGAGTTCAAGCCCCACGACTGACAAAAAAAAGAAAAAAGAAAGAAAAAGAAAAGAGTATGGGGACTGCCAGGCGCCCGTGACTCATGCTTGTAATCCTAGCTACTCAGAAGGCTGAGATCTGAGAAATCACAGTTCAAAGCCAACCCAGGCAGGAAAGTCTATGAGACTCTTACTTCCAATTAACCACCAGAAACCTGGAAGTGGGACTGTGGCTCAAAGTGGTAGAATGCTGGCCTTGAGCATAAAGAAGCTCAGGGACAGCATCTAGGCTCTGAATTCAAGCCCCAGGGCTGGAGGGGGGGGGGGGGGGGAGAGTATGAGGATTTTTTTTTGGGGGGGGGGGGGGGATGTCCGGTCATAGGGCCTGAACTCTGGGCCTGGGCGCTGTCCCTCAGCTCTTCAGCTCAAGGCTAGCGCTCTACCACTTGAGCCACAGCGCCACTTCTGGCTTTTTTCTTTTTGCTTATGTGGTACTGAGGAATTGAACCCAGGGCCTCAGGCATGCAAGGCAAGCACTCTACCACTGAGCGACCTTCCCAGCCCCGAGTATGAGGATTTAAGTCACGTAAGTTCATTACATTTTGTGAAATTTAGGGCATGATATCACACTTACGTATGAATTATGAAAACTAGAAGGCAGATATTCTCACAAGTACACAATAGCCCATTCCCTTTTCCAACCCAAAAGACAACCTTAAAATAGACTCATATTTTCCTTCCACAGTAAAATCAATCAGTTCACAGGTTTAAAAAGCCGTAAGTTGAGGCTTCAAGTCATAAAGCCGTAAGTTGAGGCTTATGTATTCCATGATTTTTTTTTTTTTTGGTCGGTTGTGGGGCCTGAACTCTGGGCCTGAGCACTGTCCCTCAGCTCTTCAGGTTAAGGCTAGCGCTCTACCATTGAACCATGGCTCCACTTCCAGCTTTTTTGCTTATGTGGTGCTGAAGAATCGAACCCAGGGCCTCATGCATGCAAGGCAAACATTCTACCACTGAGCCACCTTCCCAGCCCCTCCAGGATTTCTATCCTTTAATTTTCTGTATAGATGTAGTCTAAGTAAAAATGCCTTTCTTAACTTCCTCTAACCTATAATTATAAGATATATTTGAAAAGACTTGAGGTTCTTCACATCATTTCAAGTAGTGTCAATGACATAGTGGGATGGGTAGATATGCTAAGAGACAAATAAGGGATACGAACAATATGCCAAGTTGAGAAGGGGACATTTTTGATATACAGTTGTTACTGAAATTACTCAGAGAGAACAAGAAAAAATGCTGTCTTTGATAAATGTGGATCATCACCCAAAGAGTAGTAGTTTGGATGATATACTAGATGTGATCATAGAATTTCAAATATTCAAGTCGTCAACTGAATGCCAGAGTACAGATTTAAATTTATTTAAAATAAATATTACATGTGTAAACAATAGGAGAACTCAGTTACACAATTAAAGGTCTGAAGGTATTGACTCGCCTTTCTAGATGGCTTCCTAATGAAGTATTAAAGACAACAAACTGGTTTTTCTTCTGAAATTTCATCTCAGTATATATTTCAGGGTTTGCATCTTCATTCAAACTTTGTATTATATGACAGCTTACAGTTCCTCCTAGACTTCATTTCTCACTTGAAACCTGAATTTTCAAATAATAGCTCACAGCACTAAAGATGTGCTATACCGAAGTAAAATAAGCTAAATTTTCAGAAACAGGACCCTGTGGAGTCAAAGAATGAGTGATCATTTCAAGATCAAGTTTTGAGAAGGCATTATGGCTAACACTGCCAACTAAATTCCTGGTACATCCGTTCTAAAAGGGCATTTTCCAAATGTGTCACTTAGAAATCCCACAATCTCAAGGCATCAAAGTCTTCTAGGAAGCCCTTTACCTTAAAGTGCTCATATGCTTTACATCTATATCCTCCTTTTTTATAAAAATTCTTCGTATGATCCACTTTGGCATTTTTTCCAGGTAGATATAACCTAGATCAACACAGCTTATTATAAAGGTTACCAAAGATATTCATGGTCATCTAAAGTTAGTAAGTGCCACAATGAATATTCAATTCCTACTTCCCTAAGCCACTGCTTGATTTGGACGATTTCCTAATTTCAAAATAAGAGCCTATGTATGCATTTAGGGAACTGGTGATCATTTCAAGATTCAACTTACAGGGGCTGTGGCTAACTTATGCTTACATAGTTAGTGTAAATGTTTTGTATGAAGTTTCTTAATGTCCTAGTCACATTATAACATATCACTAATAGATTCCTACTTGCCAAGTATGGGAGATAAATTCTAATTCATTTCATTCATGAAAATGTCATTTATCCTAGCTGCTAATGTATCCTACTTTCTCTTTTTAGAATTGCTTTTAACAAACAGAAACTAGACTTTTGTTACAATAGGAAAATGGACTCTACAGTGGTACAAGAATGAATATTCTTTTGAAGCTGGAGGCTCAAGTGGTAGAGCACCAGCCATTATCAATCAAGCCATCAAGAGTACAATGCAAGTTCAAGTTCCAATACACACACACACACACACACACACACACACACACACACACACAAATTCTCTTCAAGACATATAATATGAATAATCCAGATTACTAAAAAGTGAGCTATTAAGCAATGTAACTGATTAATTCTTTAGACTTGTGATTTCTCAACTTCATTAATCTGGTTAGAATCCCCAAAGTCCTATGATAATGATACTCAGAGATGGAACCTTTGGAGGGTAATCAGGACTAGAAAAGATTGTGAAGGTAGGACTCTCATAATGGCACTAGTGGCTTTATAAAAAGACAGACCTGAGCACTTCTTGCCAAGTGATACCCTCTGCCGTGTTACAATGCAGTAACATGTAGCATCTCATTAGATGCTGACAGTATATTAAAACCTAGTTCTTGATGTCCTAATCTTCAGAATCTTGAGTAAAATAAATAGGTTATTAATAATCTATCCAGCCTGAAGCAGTCAGTTACCAGAAAACGAACTAAGACACCCTTATAGTTAAAATAGAGACTAGAGTGTAAGAAGAATGTAACACATTCATAATCAGCAAACATTTTAGCCCAAGAAAATAAGAGATTAGACCCATGCTTAGAAACCCATGCTTAGGATGGAGCTGCAGTACAGCAAGCAGTTTATTCACTCATTAAATCAGTAAATCTAGACAATGTTCTAGGTACTAGAACATTGTTTAGATGTTTATAAAACCAAGTGTTTATAAAACCAAGTTTATAAGACAAAGTAAAACAGACAAAAACCCTGGCCTTGAGACAGACACTTTTGGTTCAGATCCTAGGTCTACCTCTTAATGAATAAACTTGTGAGATTACTTTTCTATGGTACAATTCCTTCAGTTAAAAAAATTGTGACCATGGAGGAGGCAACAATGCTTGATAAGAAATGTACTCACTATCTTGCCGATGTAATTGTATGGTATTTTCACAATAAAAAATAAAAAAGTAAATAAAAAAATTGTGACTAATTTTATAATCTCTGCCTAATACTATCTTGTGACAATTAAATCACATTAACATTTATAAAGGACTTGAAAGAGCACCTGGAACACAGTAAAGTGCTTGTTTATTCATTATTATTTTCAGTGACATCATTGTGACCAATACACCAATACACTAGAACTTATGGGGTTTTTCTTAATGGATAGCACCTATTAAATTATACAAGAGCAACTCAGCCAGTGCACATATTACACCTAAATACTAGTACATTCCCTTTTCTAGACTAAGGTTAAGAAAAATAAGATGCTCAACAGTGACATTATTTTTAACATGACTAAAGAAGAAAGAAAAGTCAAACATGAAAACAGACTAAACATGTAACAGTGAAAGAATTCTGCCAGAACATAAACACATGAGAAAACATGACTAGCCACTGAAGTAATACCAGCTGGCAGTAGCCATATGAAACTAAGTGTGAAAGTACCCAGAATGAAGTTTCTGACAAGATGAAATTACTAATAGTTTTAATTCCCAACAAAAGCACTAGCTTCATAGTAATCTATCCAAAGACAAAGAAGTTGCAAAAGGCCATTTTGTGAACAGTAGGTACACAGGAGCCCAAAATCAGCCTACAGACTGATTTTCTTGTAGGAGCTAAGGCTAAATATCCAAGAACTAGGCAAACTAAACCTGGGGATATAGTTCAGTGGTAGATCACTTGCCTAGTATGTTTAAGGCCCCAAGTTCAATTTCTAGTACCATGGAAAAAAGAAAAAATAGAACTGAGCAAACTATAACTGACCATGACATACTACAAATTCAAGAAAATGGGAGCTTGTATTACTCAAAAATCTCAACAGCAAAAAGATTATAAAATCAATAGATAATTTAAAGATGGTTTAGGGACTACTAAAGCAGTATAACCAAAGTACAGAGAAACCATTAGGTTTTGAAACTTTAAACCTGAACAGACAAGAAGTAATGTCACCAGAACCCAGGAAGCAAGGTATGTGGAAAGTGCTGTGCTCTTTAGCTACCCAAGACAACCAGCAGAGAAAGGGCCAGCTTCACTTCTAACTTCTTGCATGTGAATAGGGTAAGCAGAGAGAGACAAAATGATAATCCAGCATGTATTAAAAACATGTAGGCAATTGTATGTTTCTTGTGACATTTTGTTTCAGAAATATTTGACACTTACCTGCTATTATTGTCAGGTGTACTAAGGATGACCATGTTAGAAAATGTCAGGAATTTAAATCCTTTGAGGAAAGGAAAAAGTGAATGTGGAGAGAACAGCGTGTTTTATTCAGGTTCACATGTATGTATGTATGTATGTATGTATGTATGTATGTATGTAGGTCATTCTTGGGGCTTGTCCTTAGGTCCTGGGGGCTGTCTCTGAGCTCTTAACAACCAACTCTCCTCATTTAAACTAACCTCTGTGTGTATGTGTTCAAAGAGTAATATAAGCTATTGACAGAATTTAATTCAGACCTTTAAAAAAACAAGAAAATAAAACTTTCACTATTCAGTTTTGAATTTGTGCTTCTGGGTACTATACATACCACAAAATATCCAAACTGACATAGGTATTGGCTAACAATATTAACAAGTCAGCTCTTGAAGAGCAGTTTCAAATTATGAATTAAAAGCGGGGACTCGGAGGCTGGGACTGGGCCGTTAGCAAACCCTTGGGACGCAGCCGGCTCCCGTTTCTCCCTTCTGCTTCCAACCCACTGTCTGCTGAGCAGGTGGATGTGCGGCAATAACATGTCCGCCCCCACTGCCTGCCGTTGTGCCCGCCACCCGCAAGTCCACTGCCCCAGTTATTTTCCTTCATGGACTGGGAGATATTGGGCAGAAGCCTTTGCTGGTATCAGAAGTTCACATATCAAATACATCTGCCCACATGCGCCAATTATGCCTGTTAAGTTAAATATGAATATGGCTATGCCTTCACGGTTTGATGTTATTGGACTTTCACCAGAATCCCAGGAAGATGGATATGGAATTAAACAGGCATCATAAAGTATAGATCAAGAGGTAAAGAATGGCATTTCTTCTAACAAAATTATTTTAGGAGAATTTTTCTCAGGGAGAAGCTTTATCTTTATACACTGCTCTCACCACGCAGCAGAAACTGGCAGGCATCACTGCACTGAGTTGCTGGCTTCCTCTTGGAACTTAGTTTCCACAGGGTCCTGTAAGTGGTGCTAATAGAGTTATTTCTGTTCTCCAGTGCCATGGAGATTGAGACCCTTTAGTTCCTCCCCTAATGTTTGGTTCTCTGACTGTTGAAAAACTGAAAATTTTGCCAATCTAGCCAATGTGAGTTTCAAAACATATGAAGGCATGATACACAGTTCATGTCAACAGGAAATGATAGATGACAAGCAATTCATTGATAAACTCCTACACCTCCAATCGATCGATGTCACTAAGAGGCCTTGTGTGGAAGTATACCAGCATCACTGTAGTCGATTATAAACCTTTTCCCATGCCTGATCTTAAAACTTCTAATGTTTGCAGTGGTAAAAATGTTTTGCAAACACACACAATGATTCAATAATGTCTCCCCATGGAAAATTTATGATCTTTTAAGTTTCTACATACGTATTTGTATAAAATAATCCAGAATATAGTAGTATTAAAATAAGTGACGCCATCAGTTTCTTTTTCTCAAATATAATTCAGCAAAATAATAAAAATAAGAATTAAAAGCATATGTTTTATTAGGAATTCAGAAACAGTATGAAGCTAAATGGCAATGCCTGTGCTCCTGCAAAATATACATCTAAAACACAGTGTCCAAAAGGAAGGACTTCAAAGTGATCCAATAGCAAAAAAAAAAAAAAGCAAAAACATCAAAGAGCTTGGAAAATAACACTGCTTCACATGCCACAAAACAAATTACTGGAATGATTAGTAATAAGCACATAAAAAGTGAAAAAACATGGGATTAGGGAAGGGATACTTTTTGTTACAGAGATAATTCAAACATCTTTTAACTGGCTTTAGTTTTTAAAAGATCTGAATTAAATTTTATCAGTAACCCAGATTAATTCTTGAAAATACATACACATGCTCGCGCGCATGCGGATGTGCACATACACACACACATACACATACACATATCTTTATTACCTCTCCAGACATTATCTTCATTGAAAATTATCAAACTACTTAAACTTTGCACAAGGATTAAAATAAGTGCATAATATGAGTATCATTTAGTGGCTCTGTTAATAGCACAATGTTCAAAACATACTACTTAATGTTTTAACTGAATTATATTCACAGAGGAAATGTAAACAAAATTAATTTTCTCACAAGATTATGAAGTCTAGAATATCCTAAAATAAGAACTATACCTGTTGTCTTTTAGCTGCCATAATGTTCAACTTATCCACTTCAGGTTTCAAGGCTTTATACTGTATTCCCAAGTCTTGTTCATTGCCAGCATTCCTCAATTTCAAGATACCATCTTCTACCTATTAAAAAAAAAATCCCCAAAAACAAAAATTCTGAACCACACAAATATATATATAAAGAAGATGCGATGCCCTAGGATATTTTTATTCCTTTTAAAAGCTGTCATAAAACAATCCAAACTCAAGTCTCTTGAGTTGGCCAAGCCTTCCTTCTGCATAGGTGCTTTATAGGAACTGAGCTTTTAAGTATAAATATTAGCCTCTATCAATAGACAATTTAATATATATTGTTTTCTAAATCTGAGAATTCTATCACTACAGGAAATGTCTAATCAGTATTCTGTAAAAGAGTCAAAACTATTTGCTGCAAGTTTTTCATTAGAACCAAGACAAAATGGCTCATAAGTAGAAATTAAACAAAAAAATCCATGGTTCATTTAGATAAACCTAGTGCAAAACCAAACCAAATGCTAAGGAATGTTAAATGAAGTATATCTAGCATCAGCCTGATAGAAAGAACAAATTACAAGATAAGCGTTGTTTGCTCACACCTGTAAGGCTTGCTACTGAGGAAATGAGGATCATAGTTCAGACTCAGCCCAGGCAGATAAGTCCATGAGACCTCTATCAACAATTAACCAGCAAAAAGCTGGAAGTAGGGGTATGGCTACTTGGGTATAATACCAGCCCTGAGTGAAAAAGCCAAGTGAGAATTTTAGGTCCTGAGTTCAAGCTATAGTACTGGACAACAACAACAACAACAACAACAACAAAAAGAATTAAAGACCCAAGTTCATACTTACAACTTTCAGTTGAACAAGTAATTTGTAGACATCTGCCATGTCAGCCAGAATAAGTAGCCGGGTAACAGCAGAAAGCAAAGCTCGAGCTGCCCGAACCATGTTGCCTCGCTTAACAGAAGAACACGGATCATCTGCGAACTCTCCTGCAGCACTCTTCATCAAATCTCCTGTTTTAAAAGATTTTAAGAAAGAAAAACAGAACTCAGCAGGAATTAACCCAAATAATGATGTCATTTTAAAAGAGAAAAATAGTTCATATTCTGTATAAGTTTATCATGTGCCTTTTTTATAATTGTCACTTAAGCAAGCATCTTCATATAATGCTTGTAGAAACATAATATCCTGAAAGCAACTTGGTACTATAGTAACTTTAAAGCTGCTAACGATGTTTAAATACTTTAAAGAGACTTAAGATATTTCTTCTGTTTGACCTAATGATAACAGTACTCCTGAGACTCTTATCTCCACTTAAGCATCAGAAAACCAGAAGTGGAGCACTGGCTCAAAGTGATAGAGCACTGGCCTTGAGCAAAAAGAGCTCAGGGACAGCCCCCAGGACCTAAGTGAAAGTCCCAAGAATGACATTCATAAATACATACATACATACATGTGAACCTGAGTAAAACACACCATTCTCTCTACATTCACTTTTTCCATTCATAATTGAGGCTATCTAGCAAAAATCATAGGACACTAGATAATATAGCATAGGAAAACAGAAAAACAGACAATGACTTAAAGTATCTCTGACAGTCTTGAACAAAAATTTCTGGGATGTTCCTGCTTTTTTAATCCACAAAACTGTTTATCTGCCTGGCGGGCGCCGGTGGCTCACGCCTGTAATCCTAGCTACTCAGGAGGCTGAGATCTGAGGATCGCGATTCAAAGCCAGCTCGGGCAGGAGAGCTTGAGACTCCTATCTCCAATAAACCACCAGAAAACCGGAAGTGGCGCTGTAGCTCAAGTGGTAGAGCGCTCGCCTTGAGCTGAAGAGCTGAGGGACAGCGCCCAGGCCCAGAGTTCAAGCCCCAGAACCGACCAAAAAAAAAAAACTGTTTATCTTTTGTGAAAATTGAGCCAAGGAATAAATATTTAACATCAACTTAGTTAATTCTTAATCAGTAGAGAGCCTACAAAACTTCTTTCTCACCCTCTGAGGGCAAGGAAAGGAGCTGTGATATTTCCTGTTCCAGTTAACAGAATGATTTTTTTAAAAAAAAGAGTACCACACATATTCATGTTCTCATTTTCCTTACTAACTCAACTGCACCCTGCTGCTATTCACAAACACTCCAAAGAGAGACACTTACTTCCTGATTACACATTCAAATAAATGCATAACATGCATTTCAACTTGGAATCACTTTAAGAAATTAACTAGTGGAAACCAAGTTACTGCAACATCATTACTAAAGTCATGCCAACGCCAAAATTTTAATGCTTATAAGAGAACTTCCTCTGTTACATTGAACAAATGTATTAAGGCAGTTAACTTTAAAAATATTTTTATCCTAGTGCTATTTTTATCAGTTAAACAAGATAGTCTTAAAAAAAACAGCAATTTCAAAATGATAGGCAACATTAGAATTGAATAACTTCACTGTTCTTTCCTCACTTCCAACTTACTATACTAGCACTTGAATCTCTGCAAAGTAGCATATGCTCCCACAAGGGTAATGATTCAGGAGACATCCTTGACACAACCCAAATCAAAGAAAATATAGCTTCTACCCAAAAGACTTACACAGTCTAAGTCACACAGAGCAACTTTAAATTATAAAACTCACAGATGACAACCAGTTAATGATTTCTCAAATTTATATTTTGCTTTTCCTGTTCAAGTTAAATGAAGAGTAAATATATTAAATACTAAAACTGAAGGTGAAAGGGTCAATAAAGAACATTTTCTTTCATTACAGTCCTCAAAAATATATGAAGGATAGGAAATGGATGAAAGCACTTCTAACAAAAGACTCAAAAGGGAGTTCAAAAAAAGGCATACAAACAAAATAAATAAATAACTGGAAGAAAATTCTACTCAGACAGCAATAAGGTAAAGCAACAAATGAGAACTGAGAACTCAAGGCAAGAATGAGAAACATCACCAAAATAATTAGATTTAATAAAGTTATTACACTAATCTGAAAACCTAATTGACTTATCTTTAATCTCAGAATATTAAATGTTTCCTTGATATTGCTCTTCCAAGAACATCATTAACACATTTTGAAACTCACACTCTACATTCCATCATTTTTCTCTTGTGAAAAATTAAAGAGTCCATACATAAAATCAAGCTTCTGATCTCAATCTGATTAACCAGCCTAGATAGGGAAAATTCAATCTCTCTCCACATACCCAAACAAAGTTCCTCACAGCTGTGTTTTATGTCTTCACATCATGAACTGAGTAAATCCAGACTTCACTGTCTCCTGTCTACCTCTCAAACCCTATTCATGGCAGTCACTTGACAGTTACTTTGTCCAGAACACATCTACCTTTTAACATCTATCATCCAGGCTGCCTATATTAGATGTGGGCACATCAGTCTGAAGCTGTAGACATCAGTACTGGACAGGAGACCAATTTTCACCTCTAGTCAGTTTCCAGAGTAACTCTATAGTCAGTTTCCAGAAGGAAAAAAATATATATCAAGAGAATCTGACAACTTATGCTCAATATTCCTTCTGTCAAGGATGAAATATATTATTTCCCTTTAAATTTCCTTGCCAAGATTCACAATGAAAAACACATTCTAGAATATGCAGTGTGTATATCTATGTATGTCAGTCAGCCTCTCTCTCTCTCTCTTACACACACACACAACAACAACAACATAGATTTTTTTCAAGCTGTACCAAGGAAGTTTATACCCTAAAACTCTGTATCTGATCCTTTCTTTACACCACTCTCCTGTCCTAAGATACCATCAGGTTTTTTGTGTGTGTGAATTATTTTTTGGGGGGAGGGGGAAGAGGGCTGGTCCTGGGGCCTGAACTCTGGGCCTGGGCGCTGTCCCTCAGCTCTTCAGCTCAAGGCTAGCGCTCTACCACTTGAGCCACAGTGTCACTTTCGGCTTTTTTCTTTTTGCTTATGTGGTGCTGAGGAAGTTCAAACCCAGGGCCTCAGGCATGCAAGGCAAGTCTCTACCACTGAGCCAACTTCCCAGCTCCGTGTGAATGATTTTTACTTTAAAAAGCTGAGAAGAGGGGCTGGGAATGTGCTAAATGGTAAAGTGCCTAGCATTCATGAAGCACTGGGTTCGATTCCTCAGTGCCCCATAATTAGAAAAAGCCGGAAGTGGCACTGTGGCTCAAGTGGTAGAATACTAACCTTGAGCAAAAGAAACTCAGGGACAATGCCTAGGTCCTGAATTCAAGCTCCAGGACTGGCAAAAAAAAAGGCTGAGATGATGACTGCCATTAGAGAATATTCACAAATCAACTATAGGTACTCAAGTTATTCGGCTACTATTTTAGTAGCTAACAAATAATGTTCTAAAACTAATCACATTTTATATGAGGATTGAAGTAAAGACCAAAATTTAGCATTAAATATTGAAGCCAGGCACAAGTGGCTTACACCTGTAATCCTAGCTACTCAGGAGGCTGAGATCTGAAGATCATGGTGCAAAGCCAACCCAATCAAGAAAGTCCATAAGACTCTTATTTCCAACAAACTACTCAGAAAAGCCGGAAGTGGCACTATGTATGGTTCAAGCAGTAGAGCAAAAAGCAGCCTTGAGCAAAAGCAGCTCAGAGGCAGTGCCCAGGCCGAGTGTAGGCCCCAGGACCAGCAAAAAAACAAACAAACAAAAACTATTGACTGGTTTTAATAAATTGGAGCCTTACAACCACTCAAGAACAATGAACAACATTATTAGCAACAGTTACCTAAAATGAAATACTGGTCTAAAAGGCCAGAATCTGAGAAGTTTCAAAAGGATCGTGGTTCAAAGCCAGCCAAAGCAGGAAAATTCCTAAGACTCTTATCTTCAATTAACCACCAAAAAACTGGAAGTGGAGCTGAGGCTCAAGTGGCAAAGCTCTAGCCTTGAACACAAAAAGCTCAGAGACAGTGCCTAGGCCTGGAGTTCAAGCTCCAGGACCAGCACCCAAAAAAAAAAACAAAAAAAAAAAAAAACTAAAGTAAATACAAAATTATGACATGTACAATCATTCTTGATTCCCAACTCCAAAGTAATTCTATTTCTGTTACATTACTAGATTAATGAAGGAAATCTGAAAGCAGCATCTCTAGTCCAATGAATCATGTCTTGATTGTTTAAAACCTGGTAGATTTTCAATCAGTGAGACAAATAGAATACTGCTGCAGAAAAAATATGTATGTATTTTGGGGAATGTACAGAAATATAAATACATTTTATACTGTCAAGTACTGTAAAAAAAGCAAAGCAACCTTTTATTCTACCAAATAACTATTTTTCTGTTGATTGTTAAAGGGAAAAAAGAAAAATAATAGGGCTTCAATTAATCAACTAAGGAGAACATTTATAGATACCTAGCACTACCTTAATAATATTCACAGGCACTATCTTTCAGATATATTAGTAAACAACCAAAAAGTTCAACATCCATTACCAGTGTAATTTTTCACCTGTGATGTTGGGGGTTAAATTCAAGGTCTCATGCATACTAGACAAGTACTCTACAACTGAGTTATTACATCCCCAGCCCCAATATTGCCATTTTTTTTACAAGAAGCCTTTTATGCCTATAAGGAAAAAATTGTTTTTAATCAGATTATCCTAATATTTGCCCAAAAATAATGTGTGTATTCCTTAATTTCTTGTATCTAATATGAATATATGACTCAAACTATGGCCACAGAAACCTACCAAGCAGAACCAAGCAGAGATAGGTTACAGACATTCAAAAGAAAATCAGTGATAGATATCATATATATATAACATGAAGAGAGAGATAAGGGGCTGGGAAGGTGGCACAGTAGTATAGCATTTGCCTTGCATGCATGAGGCCCTGGGTTCGATTCCTCAGCACCACATAAGCAAAAAGAAAAAAACCTGGAAGTGGCTCAAGTGGTAGAGCGCTAGCCTTGAGCTGAAGAGCTGAGGGACAGCGCCCAGGCCCAGAGTTCAGACCCTATGACCGGACCCATAAAAAAAAGAGAGATAAATCAAACTACC